ATATTAAAAGTTTTTTCCAGACTAATGATCCACACGACCAGGCATTCAAACAACCATACAGATAAATTATATATACATAACATTTGATTTACCTCAATTTCATGGGCCAGTCTATTCGTGGATAATAACCCTGTCTTAGTAGCACTATCGAGAGCTAGAACATATTCAGTGAACTATGAGTATTTTGAAGAAGTTTAAAATACTGTGAAACCATAAACCGCATAAATTACTCAGTTACTCTTTGATATTAATAATATTTCAGTTAAAAGGAACCAAAACATAACTTATTAGTCAACAAGATAAGGAGAGTTCATTATCCGAAGGAAGTTGTTGTAGTGTAACGTAAGTGCATTAGCTTGAGTTCTATTTGTTTCTCCGGACCGCAAGTGAACAAACCGATTTTCAAAAAATTACATGTCTGAATATAACATCTTAAAATGTGTGGTGTGTGTACTAGTTGCAAAAATCCTATTAGATGACACAGCATATAACCAGTGAAATATTTCTAAACCTATCAAGACGAATAATAAACAGTATAACGGAACGGTGCTGCGCCATACAGGTGAAGAACTTAGTATTTGAAAATAGTGAAAGGTTTATTTGGTTGCGACTGTGTTGTATACTGTTGTGCTTGTGTGCACACTTTCGTACAGAAAGACAAACCAATTTTAAATGCCTACCTACTCAATTGACTATAGCGCGTCATGCATTAGTTAATGTTCATTTATTTATTTTAACACATAGATATTGGTACGAGAAGGCACCAAATACATATGCGCCACACAAATCTCATTCGATATGTGTGACGGCTGTGATACTACCCATGTGCCCAAACCAAAGCAGGTGGTTTTCTTAGGGGACCACTCCCCGAGCCTTCGATTTGAAGGTCTGATCCACAAGGCAGTGGAGCATCGTAAGGAGATGCAGTCACATGGAAGCCGGTGACCAACAATTGGTTCATACGTCATTTGTTCCCTCAGGATACTGGAGCCCGTGCGCACCATTGGTTTGGAATCCGGTTAAAGCGCCGGACATTCTCTTTTCGTCCTCTCATTTTCGTAAACAACACCCCCGCCACGAGAAGGCAGTGAGTAGGACTTCCCTGGCAGAGGCTATGTACGCGTGGCCATGTGAGAGCATTTCGAGAGGGAGGGCGGACTCTCCCCACTCTCAGCCGTACCAGGGCATTTGGGGGCTGTTAATGTTCATCCTGGCAGACTGTTATTGTAAGAGTACGCCATCGATGGAGTCATTCACATTCAAAAACTAAATTCAGCGTATTAAACATCTGATAATAGAAATCCGTAATGGGAGACCCCAGGCGGCTTTGTAAGAAACTGATCACAATATTTAATGCTTCATATGATGTTGTGTTGCAGTAAATTTATTCGTTTTCTTCTAAGTGTGAGAACTTTAACTGCTGCAATTTCGTTCCTGGTTCATTTTGTTTGGTTTCTCAATTGTCATTTGTTTAACAACTGATTGTTGCTACTCAGTGTTTTGTCTTCACCTTCCTCAAACGACGATAAAGTTTTGGGAAACGAGTAAAGAAATCAAGAATTACTTCAGTGACGTTTATACCGACATTATTTCCACAAAAATAATGACTCTCTGTCTAGACAAACGAAGGAATAAAACAAATATAGTCAGACACTAACCATTCTGCATGTTACAAAACAAAACAACGCTATTTACAACTATTGTTGACGGTAACTAGACGCAACCCATCACAAACTCAATACTGCATATCTGCAGACACATGACCACGCGGTGAATCTGTAATAAGCTCTAACATGACATAAGTAACCCGCCTACATAATCACATATGAATGACTGTAAGACTGGTTGACCCACAGTCTTGACTATCTTTCATTACTGTGTTTTGATACTATTCTTGTAAGAGGCTCATATTCAGTCCTTTATCATTTTCCCGAAAAACCTTGTTAGCTAGCTCTCTGTTGTAATAGGTAGTTGACAGTTTTCTATTATTAATTTGATGTTAATCATTGTATAAAGTCTTTATTATTCTGGTCCAGGCAAATTGCTTCATTGGACATCACACACATCGCTATCGAAATAGTTACAGAGATATCCAACCCTTCATTGACTTTAAGTATGAGTTATTAGCAGACGAATAATTGACATGTTAACACACTGGACATACTGTTTAATTAGTTCAGGACGATTATTAATGTGTTATATATTGTAGTTTTACTAGTTGTTCACCAAAATTATGTTCAGTATTGGTATTAATATGAGATTACAGTCACTTCAGTGCTGTTAGAATTCATCTATATCCATGACCAGATTAATAATAAGTACTCAGTCGATAGGCACCTATTCGTATTAATCTATAGCAATACGATCAATCTCCATCTACTGCCCGCATGATGAATCCTTAGTTCAGGTGCTACCCTAAATTTCTCTGTAACCGTTACATTGATGTGGTGATCGGGGTTGCATACCGAAATGACCCGATTGAGCTACATTGGCTGGGACACTTGCTCCTTTATATCCTTCCATGTTGGGGAACAGTAAGACTAGAAGGAGCAAATTATGGTCGTACTGTTGACTTTATAGAAGTGTGACAGCAGTAATTGTTTCCTTCAAGCAACCAACACCTGCAGCTATGCTGCCTTCTCATAACAGAAGGGGCTAAAGACAGTCGATCATAAAATTATCACACTTCACCTTACTCCATGGTTTTCCGTCTCCGTCGGTTAAGCCCTTTGGAAAATGGAGCCAACACATTTGAAACTTCTCGTAGGAGGGTTGTATGTGACCGACCTCAGACAGTTGTTCGTTGGGCTGTGTGGTCACCTTTCCAGGTCGCTTCGACGATCATTCTGGTTCCTCACCCAAGTATCCCACAAAGATATATCCCTCTATGGTGTAGAGATCCGGGGAGTGACAACCATCCTCATACCTCTAACAGCGCGCGAGATCACTTCATTCACGGTCAAGCCACATCATCATCTGTCTCAATAAACTCAATTGTCGGGAACCTAACTTAATCAGTGTCTATTTAATGGAGACGACAAGTTGACAACTGTAAGGATTTATATTGACGACTCTCACACAATACGAAATTTCTTGGGATTGATGAACAACGTACGCTCCTAGTAATTTCCAACGTACTGGACTTGTATTTGGAAATCACTTCCGCTCTGGGTAAATAAATAAATCACACCTGTTTTCTATGAAAATATCATGTCCCTTTCCATTACGATATACGTTAAACTCAAAATATTTTAGAAATATATATACATATTTGCCTTGGTTATTTGTAACTCATGAAGTAATAACCTTCAACATAATTTTGGAGATTTGGTTAATACAGTGGTAGCGTACACCTTTTCTAGGAAAAACAGCTGTAGTGAATTAGAACACGAGTGGGGACAATAGAATGTATTTGAACACAAAATTACAGAACATCTCACTAAAGTCTGAGAACCATCCAGTAAATGCTTAATTTACAAAAGATCAATCAACTGTCTCAAACTTGACTGGTCCTTTTACAAATATCAGTCATTTGTCTCAGGTTTCATTGTTCGTGCATTTTCATACCGATTGTTTTCCGTTCCCATTCTTTCTTTCTCGATCTACTGAAATACATTCTATCCTGACTACCGTATATACTACTTACGTGTATATAAGTAGCGCACACCACACAGCGTAGGGATAAAGTTATCTGTGCTTCACGTCTAATTATATGCTTTGGAATTAAGGAGCTTTCATCAATATTTTACCAGTTTCTGATCGTCAGATTATAGAATTCAGATATATATGTGTATTATTAGAATAAATATTAACATTAATTAGTGAAGAATTTTAGTTTACTTACGTCGATGTTATGTAAAGCCCATCCATCAACCACAGAACCCCACAACCCAAAGTTTAATGTGGTACTAAATAAACATGTGGTTCAGTAGGTGGTAGATCAGTCGGAATTAAAACAGCCAAATTGACTTAATTGAATGGTCGGCCTCTTTAGTTTGGTTGTTAACCAACATAATGAGTAACAAGTGGCTACATCAGTCAGTCAGTAACAAAGTGGAACTTCGTACGTACGCACATCAGTTCAAGTTATCATACCACATTAGCACATCGCATCCTCAACATACTTGCATTGTTGCTTATCTGGTGGTCAGAAGACTCTGAATTTTGTCAGCGTTTTCACCAAATAGAACTGTCATCGGCATATTCTAAGTCGACAAGTGAATCTCCCGGTAAAACTTCAACTCCTGGAAATTTAGATGAGGAAAGTATTATCTCTAAAAGCACGCCAACGACGAAGTTAAGCAAGAATGGAGAGAGTGGACAGCCCTGACGAATACCACTCGAGTTAATCAATTCTGATGAAAGTTAGCCAGAAGCTCTCACTCGACCAGTTTTGCAAGAGTAGAGAGCCTTTATAAGGTTAATGTACTTCTTTGGCATTCCTTTCAGTGAAACACTGCCACAGGACCTCACGATCAACAGAGTCAAACGCCGTCTTAAGGTCGAGAAATACTACGACTGCGGGGCGTCTGGATGTGTGTCTATGTTCTAGGACTTGATGTAGTGTGAATATCTAATCTATACAACCACGTCTAGGTTGAAAACCAGCCTGGTTTTCTCTAGTCTGCTCTTCACGTCCTTTGGTTCGGCGTCAAAGTATTATTGAAGCTAATATTTTACACACTATATTAGTCAAACTTTTGTCCTTTCTTATAGACTGGTACGATCAGTGATTGAGACCAGTCAGATGGGATTACGTTCAGTTCCTAGATTCCACTTAAGACCTCAGTCAATCTCGCTGCTAATACTGAACCACCATCCTTAAAAATCTCAGGGGTAAACCTGTCAGGGCCTGCTGCCTCCTACGCTTCAGATTTCCTATGGCTTTTTCAACTTCGTAAAAAGTTGGAGGACTTAGATTAACTTGTCATTCAGGTCGACTGGAGATCGTGGGAAACCGAAGTGTGTCTGAACGCCAGTTGAATTGATCCCTAAAGTGTTCTGCCCATCGATCCAATCTCCTGAAATTAGAATGAATAATATGTCCACCTTTTTCTGAGATAGTTAATTGGCCACATAAAAACCGTTGTCTACGTTTTTTTATAAAGTTGATACTTCTACAGTTACTTTTTTGATTCAATTACATAATGAGTTTATTCATCACTTCGCACATGTCCTAAAGTTGGCGCGTAATCAAAAAGCTAGTGTATATATTCACTAAACCCCACTGCATTTTCGAATATCCTTATGATGAAGCCATGGCAATAAACAAACAAGCTAGTAAATAGGCTCAAAATGTTTCCTCAGACCAACAATGTTTTTCTGAGTTCTTTATGAATCCCTGAAATGTATAGAAGTTACCTAGACGTTAGTTTACAATCTGAAAATTATTTGAAATGAAGCTTTCAAATGTAGAACATGTACTTTGCATCTTGAGATGATATTATTTAGTTGTCGATAAAAAATAATATACACATATTTATATATACATAGTTACTGCAATATGGTCCCAACAGTCGCAGAATCTACTTCGTTTACGATCGACTTCACTTCTTCAATAATTCCTTTCCTCGAGATAAGCTGCTTTTTATAAACTTCAATTGCCTCAGTAACCTTTCTGTTTAGTTCTTGTATAGAACACAATGCTTGACGCTTTGTTTCTTTAAAATCAGTTTCGTGTGCAATTGTTGGTACGCTTGGAGGAATTTGAGATCTGCTCATCAACGCCCGATAAAAGGACGGAGAAGGATCAACGAAAACCATTTCGTCGTAGATCTCTCGGACTAAGCTTTTATGACCCATCATTATTTCATGGTCACAATGAAACAACTTAATGAGATGAGTTATTACCAGGGGCTTTTCATTAGGATCGGTGAATATGACTTTCATTGTAATGTCAAACTCTCCCCAACCAGTTTCCGTCAATTCAAACGGTGGTTTGTTAACAATTCGTATGGGATTTGAATAACTTTCATGTAATTTAAACTGGACTTTTCTTATAAATGTCGAGAGGTCTTCGCTAGGATTATACGGTCGCAGAAACGCAGTCCATTGATGGGTTCGTCCATCTTCCTCACGCTTCTTTCCCAGATAACGTGAAACGTTTCCATAAACTATAGGTTTTACAACAGTTGTCTTTAAATTTTCAACAACATCTTCAGACATCTGCAATAGTTAGGAAGAAAAATGGATAACTGGTCCTATTTAATTCAGATTGTAAGTTATCACATACTCAAATATAAAAACAAAAGTTGGGTGAACTTATTGTAAACCTAGTGATAGATGCCTCCATGAGACTTCCCCAGCGATGTAAGATGATGTCTCTAGGTCAAACAATACGACAATAAGTAGCTTTGTGTTCTGAAACCTATCAGGTTTGTCGTTACGCATTCTAGTTAAACAAAAAGTGATTACGGGAACTAAGGTATTGAAAGCACTGAGACAAGCTGCTTCATTTGTGGTTATCACAAAAGGAAAGTCAGAAGAGTGGAGTCTGCCCAGATGAACTGACGTTTAATTCTCAAGCTCTGATGCCTCAGTCACCATTTTAAACAGTTGTGTTACCATTATTAAGGACCTGTAGAGCTAACTCACTAAGACCGATAATTTTGACATTGTGTTACTAATGCTATATACATTATGTCAAACCTTTCGTACCTCATCTATATTTCATGTGTTCTTAAGGCTGTTGTATATTCCGTCAACAAAGTGTAATACCCTGATTTTACGAATGTCATTACACTTTTTCCGGAATACTGTTGTAAATTCGTGTTATCGAATTAGTTTTTATATTCATTTTACGCAAACTACATCATGGACCGTTGAAAAAAAACCGGGAAATCATTAAACATCTGTTTCTAAATGAGTAAAAATATTCCTGAAGAATGCAGATATCCTCATTTTCCTTCAATAGACCACACTATTTTTCTTACGTCAGTTTCTTAACTGTAGAGATGCGTAAATATAGATATTACAAGAGTGTACAAGGTAGAGCTACCTTGATAACGTAAATAAACTGTAATTAAGGGTTCACATATTATTTTAAGAATCGTCTGATGGACATTTGTCGTTGGACGATTTTTCAATTCACGTACGTTAGTGGTTTACGCATAAAACTTTGCGGCAGCCAACACCTTTAAATGGCAAATAGCAGACAACTAGTCTTCTAATGGCATGAAGCTTGCGGAAAAATGCATTATTAGTTGCGAAAAGCGGGAAAACATCTTATGCAGAGGAAATTCGATGACGCTATAATCAATAGACGACCTTTAGCGACGCTAAAAGGGCTTTGAGGATGTCCACCTACATACTATGGTTGAATGAGCGTTATAAACCAGCGTGAGGAATTATGACTAATATCTACAGTTGAAAGTTAGGGTTAGGAATTGGATATAGGGTCTTTATCACGAACTGACATCAGTTATAATGACAAATCTCTATTTAGCCTAACAGATTAATTAATTTCGCGCCAAAATTCAAGAACTGTTACCGTAAACCTGACTGGTTCGTCCATAAATTATAGCCTCACGATATTTGTAAATAATTCTTAACGAAAATGTGCATTAATCGGACAAGCAGTTATGTGAAATGTTATTACAAACTATCATTTTTCATAACCCAAACCATTTAGCCAAGAAATTAAAATACTGACTCCAAGACACCTTAAGGTTTGTAGCCGCATTTTCCTGAAATCTTTAGTGGAGCTTCTTCGAAATTAACTAAAATTCCCCTAAAGTTGGAGCATATGTACCAAGAACATTCTCAGCGCAACATACAATCGGTCACAAGAATCAAATAAACACTGATGTTTCGAATTGAAAATAGCCTTTATGATAGGAATTCATAAGATTTTCAAAATTATTCAGTCCCCCTATTTTGAGGGAAATTTTTTCCGTTTTTGGGTTAATTGTGGGGGAGTAGCACAAAAACTCAAAAATTTCCTCATGTCGTTTGAAAACTCCCAAACTTTCGGGAAAACCGCAAAATAGGGAGGTCGGGTGTGTTCCGTCGTTAGCTTAGACCAGCTATTTGATCCTGAGGATTTGTAATTGTGTGTTTTGTGCCGGGAAAGGAAACGAGAACTCTAAAGTTAAAATACGAAAATACTGGACTATCGTATAACACATACTTATCACTTTAAAACCAATAGTAGCGTACCTGTAGAAAGTACTACGAAGATTTAGTACGGGTTTCAATGGTTGCAGTTGGGATATAAGAGGCTCTAGCTTTCTGCGATTCCATATCGAGCTGCAGTGGATTACTTGTCCCGGGGATGAGAAAATAAAACAGATAAAATGTGATTACAGAAAGCTTAGGCAACTGAAAATATTTCGACTAATATGACCTTGAGCTTGAAACAATTTATGTAGTGGTTTTTGCTGCCAACATGTTGTAGGTATAATAATTTACTCTTGGTAGAGTTAAAAATTAGTGCAGTTTTCACAGTGGTTATCAAATTCGTGATTTCGCAGCAAAGGTTTCTGAAACCAAGCTGTTACTCTACGAGGAGATTCACAGATGAAAGGTGATATATCTGCTTCTTGATTACTTCTTACTAAGCTCCTAGTCGCTTTCTTTATTGCCAACCAACTCTTACACAAAAACGCGAACCTTTGATAAAGTGACATAAGCATAACCCTAATGTTAAGTAATCAGTCAATCTTCATTACAAAGATGCCACAACTATTTGGAGTTTGATAACATCTTTACCAGCAACACATTCTGTAATCTTAACCTGTCAACCCAGTGAAATTAGAAGTCAGAAGCGAACAGGTTCGATGATATGTTATACCTTGTTTTTGTAGTCGTTCGAAGCCAAAGTCCAGATGCCGGATTTGTGATTCACTGTCCGAACTTGCAACCGAATATTTATTAACATACGCATGTACGAAGCTGAGACGTCGAAGAATTTCATTGATAAATCTTTGAAAATATGTACAGCATCGCTGAAGCAGAAAGGCATGCGCGAGAATTCGTAGAGTCCGAAAGGTGTAATAACAGCGGTTTTAGGAATGTCGTCAGCAGCTATGGGAATTCGATTATGTTTTGACCAAGTCGTTTTTCGAAAAACACAGCTGTACCTTTCAAGGTAGCTATCAAATCGTGAATGTAAGGTGACGAGTAATGATCGGAAATGATGTTTGCATTGAGTTACCGATAGTCTCTAAATGGACGCCAACCATTGCTGTCCTTTTCGAACACGTGCAGGGGAGATGCCCTCGGGCTGTTCGACGGCCGAGTGATTTTAAAGTCTGTCATATGTTTTTGTCTAACTCCAGCTTTTCGGGTGTCCGTTGATGTGCTTTCAAGTATAAAGGTGGTCCTGTAGTCGTGATGTGATGTGTAACATTTCTGGTTACACATGGTAATTTCGGTCGCGTTTGGTATATTTCATGCTGCTTATCTAGTATTTGTTAGTAGGATAGATCATTCGTGTATTTTACTGTGACTGGAGTTAATCTACAACCAAAAAAGAAAGTTACACAAATTAGTGTTTCCGTCTACTAATCTCCGCTTGCGCGTATCAATAAGAAGATTATGATGTTGTAGCAGGTCTAAAACAATGTTTGGCATAGAAACACCTGAAACAAAAAAAATCCAGGGAATGTATTTTCGTAGAACCACATTAAGATAAACAAATAGCTTACCATATTTGGCAATCGGTTTCCTACTTGCCACCTGTAAGCTGAAGACTGATTTGTTCAGTCGGTCGCAAGAATTCGCTGGAAGAACGCTAACTTCTGCGCCAGTATTGACGAGTTAGAGAAATTTCGTAATCACACCAGTGATGTATAATAGAAGGTTATGTTTGACGCCGTTAACGCGTGCAGACTGGGCAGTCTCCTAAAACGTTTTTCGTGTCCGTCGGCATGGAGCTAGGAAAATTGCAGGGTTTTCTACAATTTCAGGAAGACTTTCCGTACTGATTATAATGCCAGCACTAAACAGGGTTATCTGTCTCTCGTGATCTGGAGACAGATCGTCTTAGTGAAGTATTACTTTGAGGAGTTTGAGATTGTTTAAGGTCATGACGAATATCGTGGTAACGTGTCAGTTTGAAAGAGTTCTATAACTTCGTTTCGTGTCGTTTGAAATTTATCTTTGACTAAATAGACCTCGGCGCTAGAAGGTTTTGTTGAGTCCGCTTTCCGAGAACTGCAACGGAACCTTCAGATGCCATAGAGGAGCTGAAGAGTCCTAGCCAATCAGAGCACGATGGAGCTTCCTAGAATGTCAACGTGGCGTGCCACTATTGGTCAGTAGCATAATATGTCTTTTAGCGGATTGGCTAAAATATGATGTTGATTTAACAAACGTTAACATCTATAAATACCCGTGTTTTCTGTACAAAAACGAACCTTGGAGTAAAGTGCTTCTTTCATGCTTTGCGTCTTCATTCTTGTATTCAGGTCACTGTATAGTTCAAGCGTGTGGGTCATCACAATAGCTTGGGAACGAATATAGCGTCCAATCAGCAAGACATAACAGTTTTGGCGATCTCCAGTTTACTATCGGCAGATGCAGCTAGCTCGTCTGCAGCGTCGTTTCAAAATGAGACAAGCGCTGCCTGCGCCTGATGAGGAAGCTTAGATAAGAAAATGTATCGAAGCAGACCATTGTCGAACGTCTTTTGGTCAAAACTTAACACATTCGTAACAACATGTCTGTTGCTGGACCATGTTGCAGATTGATGCTATTGAGGAGTTGATCTAAACTTTGTCGATCAGTTACACTTTCGCGTCTAAGAATAGACCTTTTTTAGAATTTCGCGAGTTTTCGAGAAATCAGTAGTGAGCATACTATGTGTGACGTACCTGTTGAATTCTCGCGGCAGTGCTTTCAATACTGTGAGAAATTGTGAACGTGGATCGATCACGCCGTGCTCCTGGAAGTCGGCTTCCGCATAGCAGAACCACGCTTTGATGTTGTCGGGCCATAATGGCATTACATAGAATGAGGGTGGTGTAAGAAATTTGGTCTTCAGTAACTTAGGAGTCTGTTCGGTCATGATGAATATAAAGTATGGGAATGAAGGAGAGGAAGAAAAAATCCAAAAATAAAAAATATCACAATATATAAAAATTAAAGTAAAGTAATGATACATGACGTTTCAAGAAGAACAGACTCACAGTTTGCGAGTTGGTGTACCAGATCACATAGAGCTCACCACTAAAAATGCCACAAATCTTTGAAGTTTGATAACACCTTTACCAGCAACACATTCTGTAATCTTAACCTGTTAACCCAGTGAAATCAGAAGTCAGAAGCAAAGAGGTTCGGAGATATATTTGACAGGCTAAATATTTATAGCGAAGTGACTGGTCTAAGTCGGCTAGCAGTCGTAGGGGAAGTTGAGCACAACGTTCCTACTCGCGATCTGGTGCAGGTGCGTGCCGAGTGCCTTCAGCTAGGTGGGTTCATTAAAATTGATGCGGTCAGTATCGAATGTCGAAGACTTACAGCGCTATTGTTTTTTAGGGATTTGTTTATTGCTACAATTTGTTTCCGAGTGATATTAACCATTGATGTTCCATTAAAGACACATTGAGTTAAGCTGCAAAATAAGTTGCTATCTATTAAAAATGTGATACATAATCTTTTGTTCATACTTCAATAAGTTTTTACTTGATTTAAACTGAACGAGGCATCTCCAGACTTTTATGAGCTTCTAAATATTTCAGCTTCGATAAAAAAGGAAGATAGTCAATTGTATATCACAATAACTGCTTTTAGCACTATATTTTATGACCACACATAATCTCATACTTTCAGCTCCTGTCTGAATCCCCCCATTTGTCATTTGTATGTCCACTCATACCTTGTTTACACTTATTTTCTTTAACGTATTAAAATGATCTTACTTAACAAACACCTTAATAAAAGATAATTAGACTGAGTAATCATACCTTAAACATTCCTTCATGAATATTGGCTACTCTGCCTCTCGTGTTTTTTCTTTTACTTGCTCCGTCTTTCAGCCCCCTTGAGATATGGAACGGGTGACTTCATCCTGCAGCATCCTTAAAGCCTTGGATATTCCAAATGAACATAAGGTTGCGATTTCTAGAAGCTCATACCTTCAATGGACCTATTCTTGACCATCAGTTGCACATTCGCAACGCGACTTTCATGAAGCGCGCCAACTGTGATACTGACTAAAACCATCTACATTCATTTCTTTAACTTATCAACCCAGCTGAGTAATTTACTACAGTGGATATTGTATCATTTGTATCAATTTGATCTTGCCTGTAAACTGCCATGCCTCATGTAACAAACTGTTATTTGAGAATAAATTATTATTATTATTATTATTATTATTGAAATAGAGAGTGAAGAGAAGCAAATAAGCACACGAAGAGGTTCTATGAGAGTTTTTTGACACTAAAAATAAATCAAAATAACATCTGGACTAGTTGATTTCATACAATTTGTGTTTAATCACATTAACGACTAGCCTTGTTTAAGTTCAACAGTTTAACATTTTGCATCAATGGATCTTCAGCTTACTATGTGAACTGACATTTATAGTGTCATAAAATTAAATACCATAACCAGCGGGTATAACTCGTTTGTTGAGTCAAATAATCACTTTTTCTCAAAATTTGATTACATGTCACAGACTATTGAAAAAAGCCTATTTTAGACTCCCATTTTGCTTAGCGCTTTCAAGTTCTTGCTCACAATATCAAGAGGCAGTCAAGTACGCCATCGTAAATCAGAGAACTCATCCCTAGAAGGTGTAGAAAGAAGAGTCACCAGACAGCAGTTTTAGTGCTAGTACATCTAATTTGTTTTAGGTTGGGTTGACGAGTGTCAACTTCAACCTACTTGGAGCCATGCCTTTATTCAATAGATATAACAAAAGAACAAGAGTTTAATCAGGAAAAGCATCTCTTTCCTCAAGGCTGGACCTTGGTTGGTCCGGGATATCTTGCAAAGTAAACAAAAATATACCGATCCCTAGTCGTGCCAGGATACAAGTCTGGTTACAGAACTTAACCGAATTCGCGCGAGGCCACAATCAAAGTGTAAGAATAATGGATGCTTTTTAGCACAGTTAAACAAAAGCACATAAAAACAGGCACTGGTAAAATTGGTTATAATAATAATTTTTTCAATAAACCAATCGTGTTCTCCTGATAAAAGTGAGTCACTACAAATTTTTGACATAAAAATTTCGTACACTAACAGAAAATGTTGACACCATACTACGAATGTTTTGAACAGAAATAATACGAAATTATAATGTTTTGAATTATTTGAGTTGTAGTATGAACTAGGAATCCCAGAAATAACGCAATCGAATTATGTGGTGGTTCCCAAACAAAAGGAGCTTACACAAAATATAT